AATTGTGATACTAGGCTTGTGAAATAAAAAAGATGGTGAATATTGATCACATTGGGTAAGTTTGGGAAGAGAGAAGCTAAATTTGGCAAGATTTAGAATAGAAGATAGGCAGTGCATTGGCTAATAAAGCAGAGGTAGAAACTAAGGAAAAAGAAAGTGTGAACATTAAAGAAAAAAGCAAGCTTGTGGTTGGAGAGCAGAAAAATAATTAAACCCAGAAAGGCAGTGGATGGTGTCTTTCATATAATATCTTATAGTTTTTGAAGCCCTTTCAGGTGCATTTGTCAATATATTGTTTTCTCAGCAAGTGCTGAGCCTCTACTATGTACAAAGCCTTGTGCTAAGTAGAATGAGAGTTATAAAGATGAACACATTGAGGGGCTTGCCAGATGCCTGCTCCAGTTCCTTGTTTTATTTTCTAGGAATTCATTCAAAAGTGCCTGCAGTCTGAACCTGCTCGCAGACCAACAGCCAGAGAACTTCTGTTCCACCCAGCATTGTTCGAAGTGCCCTCGCTCAAACTCCTTGCTGCCCACTGCATTGTGGGACACCAACGTGAGTCCTCTTGGCCCTATGGGGAATAGTCTTCCAATCTGGAACCCTGTAACTATCACTGGCATGCTTGCTTTCCTCTTCTATTTCCAAAGGGATTCTTTTCTGTTGTTGTTGTTTTTGAGACAGAGTCTCACTCTGTCTCCCAGGCTGGAGTGCAATGGCTTGATCTCAGCTCATTGCAACTTCCAGCTCCTGGGGTCAAGCGATTCTTGTGCCTCAGCCTCCCGAATAGCTGGGATTACAGGCATGTGCCACCATGCCTGGCTAATTTCTGTACTTTTAGTAGAGATGGAGTTTCGCCATGTTGGCCAGGCTGGTCTTGAACTCCTGGCGTCAAGTGATCTGTCCACCTCGGCTTCCCAAAGTGCTGGGATTACAGGCATGAGCCACTGCGCCAGGCCTCCAAAGGGATTCTTTACCCCTTTGCCTGCATGCCTTCTATGACATTTAATCTGACTATCCCTTCATAACATCCCACTCCATCCAGACATGATCCCAGAGAACGCTCTGGAGGAGATTACCAAAAACATGGATACCAGTGCTGTACTGGCTGAAATCCCTGCAGGACCAGGAAGAGAACCAGTTCAGACTTTGTGAGTAACTGAGAGGGTCTAAAAGGGGCAAATTGGTCACTACCACTCTTGAGGCTCTGTAAACTGCCCATTCTCTGGGAATGGTTGAATTTGCTATTTTGCTTGTTTCCTTCCTTCCATCTCCTTTCTCTTTTCTCCTCCAGGTACTCTCAGTCACCAGCTCTGGAATTAGATAAATTCCTTGAAGATGTCAGGTGAGAGCAGAGTGAGAAGGCAGGCTTTCTTGAGGAAGCAAGCAGGGTTGGGTATCCTAAGGCATTCACAGAGCCCATGTGACCTGTCTTCATCTTCCTCCAGGAATGGGATCTATCCTCTGACAGCCTTTGGGCTGCCTCGGCCCCAGCAGCCACAGCAGGAGGAGGTGACATCACCTGTTGTGCCTCCCTCTGTCAAGACTCCGACACCTGAACCAGCTGAGGTGGAGACTCGCAAGGTGGGGGCTGTGTGGGTGTGGATTGTCTCCATGGCTGTGGTGGAAGGGAGAGAGAACATCTCAAATAAGGCTCTATTCTTTAGAGAAAATGCTCCCTAGCAGCCATGCCCTATGGGCTGGAAAGACGTCTAGGTATTGGGTTTTTTATGGACAGGTCTCTAGAGTGACCCTCTCTTCCTTCCCTAGGTGGTGCTGATGCAGTGCAACATTGAGTCGGTGGAGGAGGGAGTCAAACACCATGTAAGGCTCAGGGCTAGGGTTGCGCAGGGCTGGTGGCCAGAGGGTAGGGAAGAAGAGTCTCATTTTCTGACTGTCCTATTCTCCAGCTGACGCTTCTGCTGAAGCTGGAGGACAAACTGAACCGGCACCTGAGCTGTGACCTGATGCCAAGTGAGTCTCTCCTTTCCCTCAGAGGATGGAGAGTCTATGAGCCTTATCTTTTAGGGACATATTCAGGGGTGGGAAAGGTGACAAGGCAGTAACACATTGACTCACATAGAATGACTATCTTAGCCCCGAAAGCAGTGGGTGGATCTGACAGTTTAGCCCCGGTGGGGCTGTCTGAAGGGCCCCAGGTCCCTCAGTCCCATACTGTACTCACCCCCTCCTGTTTCTCTGTCAGATGAGAACATCCCCGAGTTGGCAGCTGAGCTGGTGCAGCTGGGCTTCATTAGTGAGGTGAGGTTTCTGCCTTCATCTGCCCTGGCTGCCCCCATGCCTTCTCTTCTCTCAGCCCCCATGTCACTGAGCTCTTCTTCCCCAGGCTGACCAAAGCCGGCTGACTTCTCTGCTAGAAGAGACCTTGAACAAGTTCAATTTTGCCAGGAACAGTACCCTCAACTCAGCCGCTGTCACCGTCTCCTCTTAGAGCTCACTCGAGCCAGGCCCTGATCTGCGCTGTGGCTGTCCCTGGACGTGCTGCAGCCCTCCTATCCCTTCCCCCCAGTCAGTATTACCCTGTGAAGCCCCTTCCTTCCTTTATTATTCAGGAGGGCTGGGGGGGCTCCCTGGTTCTGAGCATCATCCTCCCCCTCCCCTTTCTTCCTCCCCTCTGCACTTTGTTTACTTGTTTTGCACAGACGTGGGCCTGGGCCTTCTCAGCAGCCGCCTTCTAGTTGGGGGCTAGTCGCTGATCTGCCGGCTCCCGCCCAGCCTGTGTGGAAAGAAGGCCCACGGGCACTAGGGGAGCCGAATTCTACAATCCCGCTGGGGCGGCCGGGGCGGGAGAGAAAGGTGGTGCTGCAGTGGTGGCCCTGGGGGGCCATTCGATTCGCCTCAGTTGCTGCTGTAATAAAAGTCTACTTTTTGCTAAAAGCGTGTGTTCGCGCCTTTCCCGCCAGGGGGAGCGGGCCCGGGGCGGAGGCGGGGCCCAGGTGGGAGGGGAACCCGGAACGGAGGCGGGGCCCAGGTTGGGGCGGGGCTGGGCCCAGGTAGAGCGGCCCAGCGGCCGGCGCGGCGGACGGGATGAGGCGCTGCAGTCTCTGCGCTTTCGGTAACTTCCGGGACCTGGCGTCTTGTCTCCTAACCTTGGGGCCACCCTTGGCCCGTCCTACTGCCCGCGGTTAACCCGCCAGGAGCCATCTCTCCCCACCCCGCCCGACTCAACCCTGCCCTCACCCGTGCTTTGCAGACGCCGCCCGGGGGCCCCGGCGGCTGATGCGCGTGGGCCTTGCGCTGATCCTGGTGGGCCACGTGAACCTGCTGCTGGGGGCCGTGCTGCACGGCACTGTCCTGCGGCACGTGGCCAATCCCCGCGGCGCTGTCACGCCAGAGTACACCACGGCCAATGTCATCTCCGTCGGCTCGGGGCTGCTGGTGAGCGCGGCAGGCGGCCCGGGGTGGGGGCCGGGCGCCCGGAGAGCCCAGCAAGCCAAAGGCTTTGTGTCTTCCACAGAGCGTTTCCGTGGGACTTGTGGCTCTCCTGGCGTCCAGGAACCTTCTTCGCCCTCCACTGGTGAGAAGGGACTTCCTGGAGCTTTTAACGAGTAGGCTTGAGTCAGGGAAATGGGGGCTGAGATTGGTCTTTCAATAGATTGGAGGAGCCTCAAATAGAGAAACTGGGTGTCTAGTCACTGGGAGTTAGCCAGGCCCAGGCTGCTCACCCTGATCTGTCCCTGCCAGCACTGGGCCCTGCTGGTACTAGCTCTGGTGAACCTGCTCTTGTCCGCTGCCTGCTCTCTGGGCCTCCTCCTTGCCGTGTCACTCACTGTGGCCAACGGTGGCCGCCGCCTTATTGCTGACTGCCACCCAGGACTGCTGGATCCTCTGGTACCACTGGATGAGGGGCCGGGACATACCGACTGCCCCTTTGACCCCACAAGAATCTATGTGAGCACATTCTCTTCCTTCTTGTGGTCTACAAAGCCTTGGTCCTGCCCTTTTAATTTCCCTTCTTTGCTGCACTTGGCCTACTCCCTCCTACTCCCCATCCTTGCTTTTCAGGATACAGCCTTGGCTCTCTGGATCCCTTCTTTGCTCATGTCTGCAGGGGAGGCTGCTCTATCTGGTTACTGCTGTGTGGCTGCACTCACTCTACGTGGAGTTGGGCCCTGCAGGAAGGAGGGACTTCAGGGGCAGGTAAGGAAGGTGAACAGGAAGGGTTTATTCCACAGAGATTGGCTGTGTTGAAAAGATGCTGACTGGCCAGGTGCAGTGGCTTACACCTGTAATCCCAGCACTTTGGGAGCCTGAGGCAGGCAGATCACCTGAGGTCAGGAGTTTGAGACCAGCCTGGCCAACGTGGTGAAACCTCATCTCTACTAAAAATACAAAAAATTAGTCAGGTGGGGTGGCAGGCACCTGTAATCCCAGCTATTTGGAAGGCTGAGGCAGAAGAATCGCTTGAACCCGGGAGGTGGAGGTTGCAGTGAGCCGAGATCGTGCCACTGCACTCCAGCCTGGGCAACAGAACCAGGCTCCATCTCAAAAAAAAAAAAAAAAGATGCTGACCTATCATTCAGGGCAAGGGTGTCTAACTCCACCTTTTTCTGCAGCTAGAGGAAATGATAGAGCTTGAATCTCCTAAACATAAAAGGCAGGAAAATGAGCAGCTACTGGATCAAAGTCAAGAAATCCAGGCATCACAGAGAAGTTGGGTTTAGGACAGGTAATGGGCCTTGAAGGTGGTGGCCTGGGTAAGAGTGGGGGCAGGGAAGTGCTCTTAGAACTGGGTCTAGGTCTTGCCATGCTGCTTTCCCCCTCTGACCTGGGTTGGTTCTCCCCTCTGTCCAGCAGGTGCTGTTCCAAGACTCAGTCCTAAAGGGTGTTTTTTTCCCACTAAGCGAGGGACCCTGACCTCGGGATGAGATAATAAATTGTAATAAAGTAACTTCTCTTTTCTTCTACTTGATTATGATTCCTTTTGGGGAAAAGGCACTGTGTGATGTTGGGAGTGACTTTGATCAAAGAATACAGTGGTCTCAGTTATTTATAAAACTTTAATGAGGGAGAGGCCCTAACTCTTCCTCAGCTCTACCGACTACTGAAAGGAAAAGCTGGTGCTGGGGAGCCCTCCACACCACTGACTGATGAATTTCAGCACGTCCTGGCACACTGGGCTGTGGGAGGTCTGTAAGCAAATGGAAGAACATGAGAGGAACTTGTTAATGCTCGAAATAGAAAATCAGCTTCATCGCAGGCTTCAGGGTCTGCACCTGCCTTCCTGCAATCCCACCCACCTTTCTAGTGTGTATGTGGGTTGTTTGTTTTGAGATGGAGTCTTGCTTTGTCATCCAGGCTGGAGTGCAGTGGCACGATCTCAGCTCACTGCAACCTCCACCTCCTGGGTTTAAGCGATTCTGCTGCCTCAGCCTCCTGAGTAGCTGGGATTATAGGTGCATGCCACCACGCCCGGCTAATTTTTGTATTTTTAGTAGAGACGAGGTTTGTAACCATGTTGGCCAGGGTGGTCTCAAACTCCTGACCTCAGGTGATCTGCCTGCCTTGGCCTCCTAAAGTGCTGGGATTACAGGCGTGAGCCACCGCGCCTGGACTTGTTTTTTTTTCTTTTTTAGTGCTGCCCTCTCTGCCTTCATTCTTCAAGTCCCCCTCTCTAACCTTGATGGCCATAAGGAATTTATTCCAGTTGTCCTTGTTAGCAGCCTTCCCTGGCCGCTTAAATTCTATTTTGTTCCTCAGAATGGGGTATCCTGTGGAGGAAGAAAAAAATGGTGAACTGGGGTTTGAGAGAGATTGAGGACGGAAAAATGAGGAGCAGCCTGGGGGTAGAAAGCATGGTCCTGTCTTTTGTACCCTTTACTGAATCCTAGTAAAATTAAGTTTATTGATCCTGCTGCTTTCCACCCACCACAGGATCTGGGGTGCTGTAGGCTTCTATACCTGTAATAAGGCAGGGCAGGGCTTGAACCCCAGTGCTTGCTGCCACTAGGGAGGCCTCGTAGGCACCACGCTCATCCCGAGGCAGAACCTGCTCCAGCCGCTGGTCCATGGAGACTGTAAGCACCCAGTCTCGAACCTCTTCTCTCTCAGCCTCCTGGAAAGAACAAGAGGGAGTGGTAGCTTCACACAGGGCAGGGCAAGTTGGGGTAGATGGGTGAAGAGGGGGTTTGCTAAGCCCTCATCCTGTATACCAGCTTTCAGCCACAAATCCTCCTTGGATTGGGGGATACAGTCACAGCTTTTTCTTTCTACTTTGCTTCTACTTTCAGTGAAAGAGTAGTGAGGGCTGAGGTCCTTCCAAAGATGGCAGCACAAAGATGTTCTCCCTCCTCAAGGCACTTACACTGGTGAGGCCTTCCCATTTTCCAACCCTGTGCCCTTACCGGTACATGCTGCTTGGCTGGGAGTGGCACCTCAAAGGGAATGTCTGTATCCTGAAAATCAGAGTGGTCAAGGCCATCCAGAGTCCCCTCCTCGATTGCCTGCAGTAGAGTAGGCAACCATGAGCTAGGCACAGCTTGTGACCAGCAAAAACCCCCACCCTCGGGGCACAGCTTCCCTACGCACGTCGGTCAGGTCCAAAAAGCGATTGAGGAAGATGAATGCCATGTTCTCCCAGCCAACTGCCTGCAGCAGAGAAGAGTTGCAAATGGGAGTGAACAAGCTGGGTTTGAATGCTACTTCTCTGGGATCCAGATGCAAATGGGAGTGAACAAGCTGGGTTTGAATGCTACTTCTCTGGGATCCAGATGCAAATGGGAGTGAACAAGCTGGGTTTGAATGCTACTTCTCTGGGATCCAGATGCAAATGGGAGTGAACAAGCTGGGCTTGAATGCTACTTCTCTGGGATCCAGGGAGAAAAATCCAGGAAGACATAGGAGGACCACATCCTCCATAACATCAGCCCTACACTCAGCTTTCATCTACCAGAGCAGAAAGGATATTCTATTTTCCAACTTTTGACTTCCTCCCATCTGCCCCACCCTTCCTTGTCCCAGCTCACCTTGGCAGCAATGCCTGCTTCATAGAAGGCTTTGTCTACAGGTAGTAGCTGGGTGTGACGCAAGAGTGAAACAGAAAGTCTGGCAGCCACAGTTTCCTGGGATTAAAGTCAAAGCATTATGAATATGACACTAAAGTGACTGAGCTACCAGACCAATGATCCTGTAAGGCAGCCACAGAACTGAAAAACAACAATTATTATTAAACTGCTCTGGATCTCAAGCTGTTCTGGTCTTAGGTTGGTTTTTTTTTTTTTTTTTCTTTCTTTCCTTTTCTTTTTTCTTTTCTCTGAACAACAGACCTGGGCCTAAGTTCAATTCTTTTTTTTTTTTTTTTAGGACAGTGTCTCACTCTGTCACCCAGGCTGGAGTGCAGTGGTGCCATCTCAGCTCATTGCAACCTCTGCCTCCCGGATTCAAGCAATTCTCGTGCCTCAGCCTCCTGAGTAGCTGGGACTACAAGCGCACACTAGCACACCTGGCTAATTTTTATATTTTTAGTAGAGATGGGGTTTCACCACGTTGGCCAGGCTGGTCTCGAACTCTTGGCCACAAGTGATCCATCCGCCTCGGCCTCCCAAAGTGCTGGGATTACAGGGGTGAGCCACTGTGCCCGGCCACCTAGATTATTTCTAAGGTTCTTTCCACTTGTAGAATTCTATTGTCCAAATACATTAAATAAATATACAGTGAACAATCACAAATAAGCCCAAAATATGTGTACATTATAAGAGGTGAATAAATAAATCATGGGATTTGGATGTTTAAACATAATGAGGCTGAGGCTGTGTGGGCACAGAGCCCTAAGAAGGTCAGAAGAAGAAAACCTCAGCAAGGGCTAAAGATTTGTTTAAGGCCGGGCGCGGTGGCTCAAGCCTGTAATCCCAGCACTTTGGGAGGCCGAGACGGGCAGATCACGAGGTCAGGAGATCGAGACCATCCTGGCTAACACGGTGAAACCCTGTCTCTACTAAAAAATACAAGAAAACTAGCCGGGCGCGGTGGTGGGTGCCTGTAGTCCCAGCTACTCGGGAGGCTGAGGCAGGAGAATGGCGTGAGCCCGGGGGGCGGAGCTTGCAGTGAGCCGAGATCGCGCCACTGCACTCCAGCCTGGGCGACAGAGCAAGACTCCGTCTAAAAAAAAAAAAAAAAAAGATTTGTTTAGACAGAAGAGAAGCTGAAAGAGAGGTGGGGAGATTCAAGAGCCCAAGCTGAAGAATCCAGAATGTGAATCAATTCAGCTTTATACATTTGCAGATGAGCCCTTCTGACTGAGTGCTCCTCTGCCCTCCTACATCTCACCAGCTGTTTGACACTCTGGGCCGCAGAGCGCGTGGCATAGTAATGAGCAATCAGCAGCATCGTCTTGAACTCCTCATGGGCTGGAGAGTTTGCCTCACTGGACTTCACCAGGTTTTCACACTAGAGGAGGGAGACAGCACAGCCTGGCTCAGGGATCAGAGGAGTGCCAGGGCCATAGAGTGGTCTCTGATGGCCACCTGGCAGAGGAAGGTAAAATACATCTGAGAATAAAGGTTTATGTGCATGAAAGAAGAGATGAGGACAAGGACAGACAGAGCAGCCCCTTCACTCCTGTCGACACAACTTCCTCACCAGGTTGAAGAGGACATCTCGAAGATCAGCCCAGCTATGATAGGCCTCGGCACAGTTGGTTCCAGGAGAGCTCACCATGTCAGTGAAGATCCTTTTGTAGATATTGAAGTTCTAGAGGTAGAGGGGAGAAGGGCATCTGAGAAGGGCACAGCTAGAAGAGAAAGTCAGTGGGAGTGGGGCCAAAGGGAGGAGAAACAGGCTCTGTGTGTAGAAATGGGTATGTGTGTGTGTGTGCAAGAGCTGGGAGACAGTGGCAGATTATTAAGTGCTGATTATTTTTAATGAAATGAATTATTTTTAAGTGCTGATTATTTTTTATGAAAAGAGGAAGAAACTTTCTTAGCTGGTGCTGTGTGAGTGTGGGCAACTGTACAAATGTAAATGCAGAGTCACAACATTAATGGGCTGTGACTCTCAATCAGGCAGCAGTGTTCATTCTCTGGAGGAAGTCAGTAAAGGCCCTAGAGGTATGTGCAGGATTCAGCTCTGAAAGACAGGTGCCTGTGTATTTACTAACAGCATGGGGAGCTCCATGGGTGTTTCTTCAAACAGAAGTTGAAAGTTTCTGCAAACTTCTCCCCTTGCTCTTAGCAAATACACAGCCTCCAGAGAGGCTGTACCTTTCTGGAGATGCACTGGGGGCTCTGGGCATGATGTTCTCTAAGGATAGAATCCTCTGAGAAGATAGTTCCTGAGAAAATAGGTGGTTCTAGAAGTGAAAAGAGTTTCCTTGTGGAAACATTCAATCCAAGGAGAAGGCTGGTACCTGTGGGTTAGCAGGGGCTCCGTGCTGTACATATAGGGCCAATGCCTGGGCAGAGTTACCCTCCCGGATCAAGTGAGTTGCATACAAAGCCACGTACTTGTGCAGAATCTTGTAGTTCTGTACAGGGGTGGAGGAAAAGCATGCGTGAAGTTGGGATCAGCAAGACCAAGCAGTGAGGTGACTTGAGGCCATGTATTTGTTGAGGAGACAAAGGGCGTATGCAAACCTCTGACCCCAGTTTCAGATTGAGCTTATCTGATGCCCATTAGAAATCTTTGGGCTTTGGGTTTTTGTGGAGGTAGGAGAGATGCAGCTTTGAAGCAGGTGGGGAATCAAGGGAAAATGTAAAGGAAAACTGGGAATGGGAAGACAGCAGTACCTGCTTGGTAGCTGTTTCAATGCACTTGTCCCACTGGCCCTGCTCCACATACAGGTCCAAAGCAGCTATCACATCCACACCCACCAGCTGGGTCAATGGAAGACAGAGTTACAAGAGAAAAGAGATGACATGAGGGAAAGAAGAGGGAGAGAATCTTGTGAGTCTCTCCCTGCATTCTGCCTCCTGCTAATTCTGCAAGTCTCACCGAGTCCACTTTGCCCTGGTTCTTGAGGAACTCTTTATAATGCTGGTCCACATAGTCTTCGTACCTGTGAAGATGTTCAGAGAGCTCCATCTTCATATTCCAGAATACCAACCCTCCCCATAAGACTTTCTCCCAGTCTTTACAAAAGGAAGTAAAAGAGAATTTCCCGGTAAGAAGGGGTTACAAGCTTACCTGGGATCTAACTCCTTAGCTACACGCTTAGCCTTGTTCCACTCCTCACCCTCGATGAAAGCATCAATTGCTTCCTTGACAAGGTCCAGATTCAGATACAGCTCTGCAGCCTGCACAACGGGAAATCAGCATGGAGACTTTCTCCTTGCTCCCAGTCTTCCCGCTGTGAGCTCTCCCATCTGTTTCCCCAGGACTGCAAGCCTTGCCCACCAGGAGGCCCACTTCATACACCTTCCTGGGTGCAGATGTCACCCTTGCACCCATCTCTGTGAAATCTATTTCTGTTCCATCCCATCACCCTGCTTACTGCACTGTGCTTTCCAATTCCAATCAGCTGGGGTCCTACAGCCAGAACGACCTCCATATTACGCTGAGGAGGCAGAAACTTGATGGAGAGTTCGGCTGCCTGAGTGGTTGAAGAGAAGATGGAAATGGGTAGGAGAGACAAATACCGCTGAGTCCTCAGCCTGATCCATTTCATACATTTTTCTCCTCCAGATGCCAACTTTTTCTCTTACTCTCTCCTTCAACCTTGTACCCTCCTGGGCAGAGCCTGACCCACGGTCCATTAAATCCTTTAATTAGCCATCAGTGGACCTATCTTTCCTCTCAGTTCATTAACTCTTTCAGACACTTCCTGTGCTGCCTGAGGTCACTGCATTTGAACCTTCCACCTTTGACAAAATCATTTTCAAGGTCTTTGTCATAAGTAAAATCTTTGTAGCAGAGTACAGAGAAAAGACTCCTAAAATGAGGAGTCCAGGGCATTCTGTAACTATTTGTGTTGGGCTTTTATGAGCTTTGGTTTCTTCATTCATACACACTGGATTTTGAAGACTTAGTGTAAAAAAAGAATGGAAAACATCTAAATAATGTGTGTGAGTACATGTTGAAATGGTAGTATTTATTTAATTTTTTTGAGACAGAGTCTCGCTATGTCGCCCAGGCTGGAGTGAAGTGGCATAATCTCAGCTCACTGCAACCTCTGCCTCCCAGGTTCAAGCAATTCTCTTGCCTCAGCCTCCTGAGTAGCTCGGATTACAGGCCCCGCCCCCTGCCACCATGCCCAGGTAAGTTTTGTATTTTTGGTAGAGACGGGTTTCACCATGTTGGCCAGGCTGGTCTCAAACTCCTGACCTCAAGTGATCTGCCCGCCTTGGCCTCCCAAAGTTCTGGGATTACAGGCATGAACCACTGTGCCCAGACGAAATGGTGGTATTTTAGATATACTGTGTTAAACAAAATATATTACAATTATTTTCACGTTTCTTTTTACTCTTTTTAAACGTGGCTACTAGAAAATTTAAATGACATGTATGGCTTACATTTGTGGCCTGCATTATATTTCTAGTGCCAGTGCTGGAATAGATGATCTTGATGATACCTTTCAACACTTAAAACTCAGAAATTCTACAAAACCAAGTGTTCTATGAGATCATACTGTTTCCATTAGGACGCTGACATCTTCACCAGATTTCAATTTCCACACAATCCAATTTAGCTGTAGTTTATGCTAATCCCCTCTGGTCTTTCCCTCACCTGTTCTTGCCTCCCTTTCTTACTGCTAAGCCCTTCAAAGCTTAATCTGCCCTGTCCGCATCAGGAAGCCATCTTCTGACTAATATGAAGAAGGTACAGTCATGCCATGCTCCCAAGTTACACATATCAGATACTCAATACTGCCAATTAAAATCTGCTAGAACCTCAAAACCAATCATCAGCCCCTCTTTCTACTTCTCTCCCTCTAACTTCTAGGGGTTATTCAATTATAAGACCTCAAAAGGCCGGGCACAGTGGCTCACGCCTGTAATCCCAGCACTCTGGGAGGCCGAGGAGGGTGGATCACGAGGTCAGGAGATTGAGACCATCCTGGCTAACACAGTGAAACCCCGTCTCTACTAAGAAAAATACAACAAAATCAGCTGGGTGTGGTGGCGGGTGCCTGTAGTCCCAGCTACTCAGGAGGCTGTGGCAGGAGTATGGCGTGAACCCGGGAGGCGGAGCTTGCAGTGAGCTGAGATCACACCACTGCACTACAGCCTGGGCGACAGAGCAAGACTCTGTCTCAAAAAACAAACAAACAAAAACTCAAAAACCTAAGGGAAATTTTGCAGGGCCATCACCATACAAACATGTCATTTAGATGGCCAGTCAATTTTACCCTCTTCATGACCCCCACCCACCAGATTTCACTGTATCTAAGGTGCACTTAAACTATACGTGCATCCACCAACATGGCACATGTATACATACATAACAAACCTGCATGTTGTGTACATGTACCCTAGAACTTAAAGTATAAAAAAAACTATATGTGCATCCCAATTTTAAAGATATTAAAATATAATTATACATATATGCCACTGTTAACTTTATGTATCAATTTGACTGGGCTACAGGGTATCCAGGTATTTGGTCAGACATTATTCTGGGTGTTTCTGTAAGTGTTTTTGGATGAGGTTAACATTTAAATTGGCAGACTGAGTAAAGCAAATTGCCCTCTCTACTGTAGGTAGACCTCATCTGATCATTTCAAGGCGTGAACAGAACATACAGGCTGGCTCCTTCCCAAGTTAGAGAGAATTCTTCCTGTTTGACTGCCTTTAAACTGGGACACTGGCTTCTTCCTGCCTTCAGATTTCAACTGAAACATCAGCTCTTCCTGGGACTCAAGCTTGCTGGCCTTCAAACAGGAACTACACCATCAGTTCTCCTGGGTTTTCAGTTTGCCAGTTCACCTGCAGATCTTGGGCCTTGTCTATCTTCATAACTGCATGAGCCACTTCCTTTTAATAAATCTCTTTATGTACACGTACACACATATACCTACAGTCATGCATTGTCTAATGATGGGTATGTTCTGAGAAATATGTCCTTAGGGGATTTCATCATTATGTAAACATCGCAGCACAAACCTAGATGGTATAGTCTACTATATATCAAGGTAGAGGTTGCGTAGAACTTATTGCTCCTAGGCTACAAACCTGTACAGCACACTTCTGTACTGACTACTGTAGGCAACCATAACACAATGGTAAGTATTTGTATACTGAAACCTATCTAAGGCCAGGCGTGGGATCATCTCAAGTGATCCACCCACCTCGGCTTCCAAAGTGCTACAATTATAGGCGTGAGCCACCACGCCCACCCATGTGGTCTACTGTTGACCAAAACGTTGTTATATGGCATATGGCTGTATATATCCTGCTGGTTTCTCCAATATAGTATGTCTTATTATTTGTGACACATACTGGCCTGGCTTAATTTGCTGGAGGCTTCTTTTCAGGAAATGTTGGGTGGGGGAGATGGAGCCCATGCTTTTTTCATGTTCCCTGTCTGGCCAGTTCCTGTGCATGGAGTTGCCCTTCCAGCTCCTATCCAAGTCCTCCCTCCTTCTTCACAGAGGCTTCCTGACCCCTCTAGCCCACAGAGATCTCGCTGTTCTCTGAACTCTACTTTAAATCATGCACTTTAGTCTTTACTCAGATATGATATTAATTGAGCCATGTGTTGGTCTAACTCCCCTAACTTTTGGCTGTCAGGGTCTGTCTTATATCTGCTTTTACAGCCTCCAGAGGTTCTGGCTCTATCATCCAGCAGGCACTTCACAGATTCCTGCTACCTGACTGAAAAGAAAAAGACACAAGAGGAAAGAGCTGCAGATGTGAGAAGTGGAGCTGAGTGTGAATACAGGCCTAGGGAGAAGGAACACCAGAAAGGGCCTGCTGCCCTCACCTTCATCCAGCACTTCTCCGCCAGTCCGCTGTTCCCAGAGTCTCGCACTTTGAGGTAGCAGTCCACAGCATGGCTGTACTCTCCAGCCTGCTCCCAGTGTCGAGCTTGTTCCACGAGTCCCTCCACACCCCTGTGGAGATGAGAACGCTGGGACTTGGCATGGGGGTGGGGAGCAGCGTGCTCTATCCTGTGCATGCCTCATGACCCTCCCAGCCCTGCCAATGCTGCCTGGACCTCTAGCCTCATACCTGGCCCCCTTCTTAGTAGCTTCCCGCTCATACTCTTCCTGCAGAGCCTCCAGCTGGCTGGGCACATAGTCCTTGCAGATCCGTAGAGCGTCACTCCATAATCCAGCCTCCTGCTCAGATTTCCAGGTATCAAGAGGGCAGAGGCAGGCATGACAGCTTCCCACTGCCACACAGGTGCTCTGGCCCACAGACTCCTGGGTCCTTGGACCTCTCTTCTCCTTCCTCTTTCCTGTCTTTCCCACTCCCCAATACTAACCTCCCTGATCTTTCTTCATACCAGGGGTCAGTGTGGCTCTCTGTGGGCTCTCAGAACCTCTTCCCCTCCCCTCATGGCCCTGCATCCAGTGCCCCACCTTATAATAATTGAGGGCCAGGCCTGGTCTCTGGGCCCGGAGCAGCAGCCCTTCTGCTTTCTGAAAGTCCTTCTCCTCCAAGGCCCCCTGGGCCTGTCCCACAAGCACCTCGGCGACACTGTCAGGGTCGTGGGCCTCAGCCACACGCTGAGCTGCCTCCCAATCCTGGTTATGGACAAACCTGCCTCCGGATGGGGACAGAGGAGAGACTGAGTATAGGACTGAGGCCCCAGTAGTGGGAGACAAACAGCCATGTCACTGAGGGGTGTAACACTGATTTGTTCTAGGTTTGAGTGAAGGTCAAGAGAATCATGAAAGATCCTGGGACTGTGACTGGGGAAACAGGATTAAGGAATGTATGGGGTAACTCACATGAGGACTGCTTCCTTGGGTTTACCAGCTCTGATGAATTCAGCTTCAGCCTCTTTGAATTTCCCCTACAGGGAGAGCAAGGCAGCCGTGCATGGTGAGAAGGAGACTGGCATCACAGGCAGGCATGAGCCTGGGGGTATGCACACCCAGGAGCAGTGCACTAGGGGATGGAGTAAGAGGGCTCTGCGGTCAGGGTCCAAGTCACACCCATACCTCATCCTCTAGGAACATAGCATATTTGAGATGAACCTCGGGGGTTTTGTGCTTGAGGGCCAGCCGAGAGAGTTCAAAGGCAAATTCAAAGGAGCTGAAACAGAAAGTGCAGATAAGGTTTTCTTTCTTCATGCTTCCATTCAAAAAGGGAACAAGACAAGACAAAACAGAAAGGACAGAGTTGAGGGGAGAAAAAGTGACAGATTTAAGGATAACGGATATGAAGTGACAGAAGAGCATAGAGAGATAAAAAGGAAGACAGGCAGGCAGCCCTGTGAAGACCACGTCACTGTCAGTGTGGATCAAGAGATGTCTGGAAAAGCCTATGCCTTCCCTGCGGCCAGCTGCTCCTGAGGAAGGAGTTTGGGCCTGCAAAGGGTAAGGGAGGAGTGAGCCTCGCAGCCCTACGCTGACAGGGCTAGGAGGACTCCTGGTGCTCACCACCTCCTCCTGAGCTCCAGCTACATTAGCAGAAATATAGTCTCGGCCGGGCGCGGTGGCTCAAGCCTGTAATCCCAGCACTTTGGGAGGCCGAGACGGGCGGATCACTGGGTCAGGAGATCGAGACCATCCTGGCTAACCCAGTGAAACCTCGTTTCTACTAAAAAATACAAAAAACTAGCCGGGTGAGGTGGTGGGCGCCTGTAGTCCCAGCTACTCGGGAGGCTGAGGCAGGAGAATGGCGTAAACCCCGGAGGCGGAGCTTGCAGTGAGCTGAGATCCGGCCACTGCACTCCAACCTGGGCGACAGAGCCAGACTCTGTCTCAAAAAACAAAACAAAACAAAAAAAGAAATATAGTCTCTCCAAAATATGAGCAAGACCACCCTCAGCATCAGACTCCATGATTGGCATCGATAACAGTAGCTTAAGAAAAGTTCACTTTGCTCTTTTGGCTATCTTTCTGTGCCGCCACAATGGTGTGCATGAATGTCCTGGCTGATGCGCTCAAGAGCATCAACAATGCCGGAAAGAGAGGCAAACGCCAGGTCCTTATTAGGCTGTGCTCCAAAGTCATCGTCTGGTTTCTAATTGTGATGCTGAAGTATCGTAAATTGGTGATTTTGAAATCATTAATGATCACAGCTAGGAAAACTGCTGTGAACCTCACAGGCAGGCTAAACAAGTGTACAGTGATCAGCCCCAGATTTGACGTGCAACTCAGAGATCTACAAAAATGGCAGAATAATCTGCTCCCATCCTGCCAGTTTGGTTTTATTGTACTGACAACCTCAGCTGGCATCATGGACCATGAAGAAGCAAGACAACACATACGAGGGAAAATCCTGTGATTCTTTTTCTAGAGATGTAATACATATTTACAAATAAAATGCCTCATGGACTCTGGTGCTTCCAAAAAAAAGAAAAGTTCAGCCGGGTGCAGTGGCTCACGCCTGTAATCCCAGCAATTTGGGAGGCCAAGGTGGGCGGATCACTAGGTCAAGAGATCAAGACCATCCTGGCAAACATGGTGAAACCCCGTCCCTACTAAAAATACAAAAATTAGCTGAGCGTGGTGGCACGTGCCTGTAGTCCCAGCTACTTGGGAGGCTGAGGCAGGAGAATCATTTGAACCAGGAGGCGGAGGTTGCAGTGAGCCAATATCATGCCACTGCTCTCCAGCCTGGCAACAGAGTGAGACCCTGTCTCAAAAAAAAAAAAGTTCACTCTGCATTTGACAGAATCACACTTCCATTACCCAGGAGTAAGTTATTGGTTTAGTGCAGTCTGCAGTCCTAGCTTTACAATCTGTTTCCTGTCCACCCGTCTTAGAACAGCCAAAGGGTAAACACTGTTCTGAGTCTCTAGGGAATAGGAGCAGTTAATTTATTCATGCCACTCTATCATGTCCTTCCAAGGATCTTTCAGTTATACATCAATTTTCTTTCTCTAGATAGTGGCTCTGCCTGCGATGGGGCCCATGGAGAGAAAGCTTGGGGCCTCACCAATTGTCCGCAGCGTGGTCAACAGCAGCTTCCAGGAGTCCCAGCTTGTTAAGCAGTCTAACTGCAGCCTCTCCTCCCAGGCTCTTTGCCCACAGATAGGCCACGTGTTTGTGGGCATTAGCCCCTCCTTGAGTCCTGGCCACCTATAAAGCAAAGTCACTCAATAATCCTTCAATACAGAGCTGCTCCCTTCTTACCTCTGACCTTGGCTTTGACAAGGATCCAATAACTGTTCTAAATTGAAAAGGAAGAGGCTGGGCGCGATGGCTCATACCTATAATCCAGCATTTTTGGAGGCCGAGGCAGGAAGGATCACTTGAGGTCAGGAGTTCGAGACCAGCCTGGCCAACATAGTGAAACCCCATCTCTACTAAAAATACAAAAATTAGCTGGGCACGGTGGTGACTGCCTGTAATCCCAGCTACTCGGGAGGCTGAGGCAGAAAAATTGCTTGAACCCAAGAGGTGGAGGTTGCCGTAAGCCAAGACTGTGCCACCACACTTCAGCCTGGGTGACAGAGCAAGACTCTGTCTCAAAAAATGAAATAAAATAAAAAGTTAACAGGAAAAGGGCTAAATTTCAGGGTTTCTTAACTTAGGTTGAAGTACTTAGGGTCCAAGGATAGGCTTCACCTGGTCCACAGACCCTTAAAATTGTAAGTGAAATTTTCTGTATACAGATGTGGACATGGTTCTGGCAAGAGAGACTCTGATCTTCACTACATTTTCAAAGATGCTCTGACCAATTGTGAATTAGTCACTTAAAGTGGAAAAGAAGGGCTGGGCATGGTGGCTCATAGCTGTAATCCCAACACTTTGGGAGGCCAAGGCAGGTGGATCACTTGAGCCCAGGAGTTCAAGACCAGCTTGGGCAACATGGTGAAAACTTGTCTCTACAAAAAAATTAAAAAATTAGCCAGCTGTGGTGGTGCACACCTGTAGTCCCAGCTATTCAGGAGGTTGAAGTGGGAGGATCGATTGCTTAAGCCCAGGAGGTCAAGGCTGCAGTGAGCCGTAATTGCACCACTGCACTCCAGCCTGGGTGACAGAGTGAGACCCTTTCTGAAAAAAAAGGGAAAAAAACGTGGGAAAGAAGGATGGATGTATCTCTCAGCATGGCCTGAACTCCTTACCCGGTAGGCCTCTTCCCAAAGCCCACTGGCCCGGTACATGTTCACTGTTGCCTTCCATTCCTGGGCCTCGAGGTAGTGGTACTCGGCCTCCTGTAGTCGGCCTTCAGCCTCCAGCTCCTGCAGGAAGGTGAGTCAGGATGGAGAGATGGGGAGATGGAGCCTGGTTGGGGAAGAGATAGGTAGAGCCAGGAGAAGGGCTCACCTTGCCTAGATGTAGGTGTGTGTCACTGAGGAGATCTGGATGGTGCTTCCCTACCAGGCGGATCATGTCATCATACAACTTGTGCTTTTTGTACATGGTGATGGCAAGATCAGGCTCTTCTACTGTCACATATAGCCTGGGGAAGGGAGATACATCTGGGGCCTCCTAGACCCGATCCCTGCTGTCACTGCCTTCTGGGCAGAAGGTACACATCCTCAGGCCCCATCCCTCCTCCCAGCCTTGAAATCTCATCTCCCACTACACCTCCTCTGAGGCCACGGCTCACCTTTCAGCCTCACGGTACTTGCCCTGCTTCTCCATTTCCTGGGCCTGAGTGATGTATAACACTGATACATCTTCTGGTCTCATGCATTTCATCGCCAGCTGTGGAGGCACAGAGGCAGGGTAGCCTCAGGTCCAATTCCCCAGGGAAGCAGGGCTTCAAGGAAACCTGCTTGTTCAGAAGCTCTGAACTCTCCCAACAATCACAGGAGTTTGGTTATTGCCACTCCTGAGGTCACTAGTGAAGTCGGGGAATTCCAAGTCCATAAGAAGCAGAGGAAGAACTATATTCCGCTAAGGTGGGAGGGTCTGTGATGCCTTGTGCTGGGGCATACACTCCCATTACCGCTGTAACCACTGGGCTCTGAAGTGTAGGGGTGAGAACAAAGACATCAATGTGACCAGAGGCGTCAGGAGTGGTAGTTCAGATTCCCCAGCTCCCAAGCCCATCTGCTCCTTCAGAATGATAGATAGGTCTGGAAACAAGGGCCTCTCTTCATCCCTTCCTTTCCCTATGGCTAGGGATCAAAGTGGCTCAGACTGTTTTTTGGTACTCTTTGTCAGCTTTCAGGGAGTCAAGCGAAGAGGAGAAACAGAGACCTAGGAATGAGGCCACACTTCCACTAAGGCAGAGTTCTCTTATCATGAACTCCACTCATCCCTACCTTGTGGGCTTGTTCCCAACAGCCAGCCTGGGTGTACATGTCTATAGCATCTTTTGTCCGGTCTCCCTTAGTATAGAGCTCCTCAGCAATCTGTAGTTGATGGGAGGTAGATACAAAAGGTCAGAGCAACAGACTTAAAGCAGCTTGAACAAGGAAAGAACAAACCTCGGCTGAGATGGTGGAGAGCCTGCAATACGACCTTGTAATGATAGAGAAGAAACGATGAGTATGGGTGTCTCGTATATTCTACCATTTAAAAAGAAAGACCAGCCCCAAGCAGTATGAGGACAATACAGTGGAATTCAAAAGGGCCTCACATTTCTGCAATGTAAAGCAATTTTATATTGTAACTATGTTAGCGTTATTCATGAAGAATCACTCATGCTGGCTGGGACAGAGCTAGAGACTCACTTTATGTATCTGGGGTGAAGGGAGGTATCAGTGTCACACTGGAATGAAATTGGGAAAGTAAACTGTTCTCTTCCCATTCAAGGTTGTGATGCTGTTTGGGGCCCAGAAAGAAGGATCTGGTGAGCTTGCCTCCACACTTCCTGTTTTGGGTTCTCTCATTGTTATCCTCTACTGCATCGCCTCATGCTGCGAAAAGGGACTCTTCCTCACCTCATACTCCTGCAGGGATGCATAGTGTTGGGCCACGAGAGGATAGTATTTGGACGCAGTGTTCCGGTCCTGTAGATCTAATATATAAATTGCCTTCTTCCACTGGCGGGCACCCAGGGCGGCCTCAATTGCCTTAATGGAGCACCTGGCAAAGTTGAGAAAGATATAAATATGTAGGATGAAAGATGAAGATGAATGGAGGTAAAAGGACCCCTTAAGCACACATCAACCTACATTTTGAGATATCTTCTTTTAAGCCTTGGTGTCCTTACTTGCTCCACTGCCCCTCACTTCACACCTAAATCTCCTTTACATTCCCATACTCCCATACCTGGCTTCGATGTAGTGATTAATGGCTGCATCAAGCTGCTTCTGCTGCACCAGGTGGTCCCCCCATGCCTCCTCCAGTTTCACCACCTCCACTGGGAAGGCCAGTCGAGCCAGCTCTACCGCTGCCAGGGAGAGAAAAGGTGCTCAGCCCAGACTTCCAGGGACAGGCCTCAGGAAAAAGGTAGGACAGGGAGATGAAGCATGGAGAATGGGTAAGAAGGGGAGGAATGGAGAACTGGAGCCAGGCAACCTGAACACACACACCAAGGGGTGCCGGGGAATCAGAGGGGCAAGAGTCCACAACAGTAAAGGATGGCTCATAGGTGGCTAGTACCTTTCATGAATGCGTTGCCTTTACGGTAGCACTCCAGGGCCTTCTGTGGATTGTGAATCTTCTCAAAGAGATCACCTGCCTGTTAACACATAGCACATTACTATGATACCCCTACAACACAAAGAACTAAGTATTAGCTCCAAAAACAAGGGAACACCAGCAGTCAGGAAGTACTCTGCACCCCAAGACTCCTCTGGGTGAGGGAAGGGTCCTGAGCTCCTGGACATAAGGGCTAGGAAAAGGAAGCCAGCATACCCTTTCGTAGAGTTCCCCCTTGATAAGGGCTGCAGTGATGTGTTCTACCAGCTCTGTGTTGGCTAGCAGTTCCTCTCGGGTCAGCACCAGCCGAGCAGCTTTGGCAGGGAGCCCAGCTTTGAGGTAGAGGCTGATGGCTGCTAGCCCATCCCCTTGGCTCTCCTGTAGTTCACCTGCTCGCTCCTCCTGCTGTGTGTCCATAAGCCACTGGTAGTAACTACGGCGTAGCTTCTCTAGGGCTGGGTGCCCCTGGACACACACAGAGGAGAACTAGAAGTTACATCCCCCTTCCTACTCTTCTGCCTCCCATGCTTCTCCAATCCCTCTATAACAAGGGGAATGCTCCTGGGTCAGTAGTATCCTAACTCCTCACCATGTCAAGTCCAAGCCCCAACCCTGTTCTGGTTTCTATGGCCTCCTTGACAAAAGAAGGTTTTTGAAATTGGCAAAACCAAATTCTCAACAACTGTGGAGAAGACAAAACAGGTACCTTGGCTTCAGCCACAGCGATACACTCATCCCAACGGTGTAGCTCCTGGTACATGCCCATGGCCTCCTCCACAGCGTTCTAGGGGAAAAAGGCAGAGCGGAGAGGGATGCCAGAAAGATATGAGGATCAGAAAGCAGCAAGCTCTCTTCAGCCTGGCTATGATGCCAGCACATGAGGACCAAAAGCCTTACCTTTTAACTACTATACCAGCAGAAATATTGGGAAACTAAAAGAAGCTTAAGCTTCAGGCCTCCTTATTTGCACAGGCCCTTTCCAAGGCAACTGTTCTTTTTTTTGAGATGGAGTCTCACTCTGTTGCTGAGGCTGAAGTGCAGTGGTGCGATCTTGGCTCACTGCAACCTCCGCTTCCTTGGCTCAAGCGATTCTCCCGCCTCAGCCTCCCAAGTAGCTGGGATTACATGCATGCACCACCATGCCTGGCTAATTTTTTGTATTTTTAGTAGAGATGAGGTTTCACTATGTTGGCCAGGCTGGTCTTGAACTCATGACTTCATGTGATCCACCTGCCTCAGCCTCCCAAAGTGCTGGGATTACTGGCGTGAGCCACCACACCCGGCCTAAGGCAACTGTTCTTAAAGAGAGCTCCTCAAATTGTATAAGCTTCCGGCCCACAAAACCTGGATCTACCCCTATGCACAAGAACTGCAAAGACAGGCTCTGGACTAGAGGGGAGGTAGTAGACTGCGTATGAAAGAAAGTAGTAATCAAAGGCCAAAGAAGGAAGTTTGTCTAGAAAAGTAAGGACTAACACAAGAGGAGGAAGTTAAGGAAGGGGTGAAATTAACTATATAAACCTCTTCGAAAGTTTTCACCAAACCTTTGGAAGCCTAGCTTACCAGCATGCTTTCCTCCCTTGAGTTTGCATCCCCTTTTCCTTCTTTTTCCCTCGTATCCCCTCTTCCAACCTGTCTCTCTTTACCTATTACCTGTTCCAAAAAGATCATTTCGGCCAGTTTGTAGTTCTTTTCCAGCATGGCTAGACGTGCTCGGACCTGATAAAAGTCTGTTCCTTCTCCGCCCTGTGGGGGAAAAAGGAGGTTCTGGTTTTTCTGTAGGTGCTGCTGTTCTGTCTGTGAGGGCTGAATTTGGAAGGCCAGAAGGATGGAGAAAACAAAAGACTTGGGAAGGTAAAACACTTCATGGAGCTTAAAGGTTTGAGGTTTAGCAAAAGCAATTCTGAAATGGTCTGACTTGAGGGTAGAGGTAGGGTGGGCAGGGTAAAGGAAACTAGGGATGGCTGGAAAGCTAGAAATCATGGGGCTGAATACTAAGAGAAATCAGCTTGGGAGACAGACAGAATGAATCAGGAGCATAATACTTGCATATTCCCGGGACACTTGATCTGCAATCTCATTGGTCTCATGCAGGAATCGAGCTTTTGCTACTTGGCCCAAAGCAGAAAAGCACCTATGGCATGGAAGCAATGACATTGATAGTAATATTATTATAGAATCATCATTAATTCATTGGTTCAGCAAATACAAATTGATATGCATCTATGATGTGCCAGGCAATGTGCTTGTCACTGGAGACATACAGAGACTAAGGAAGATGAGGGCTTTGCTCTCTGAGAACTTCCATTCTGGTGGAGACAAATAATTAGTAAAATTGGAGATAATAAAAAATAAAATAATGTAATATTATAGATCAAACTTGTTCAACCCATGGCCCAAGATGGCTTTGAATGTGGCCCAACACAAATTCATAAACTTTCTTAAAACATTATGAGATTTTTTTTGTGATTCTTTTTTTTTTTTTTCGAATAACAGTCTCCAACTTATTAAGATACAACGGACACACACAGCGGACAGGTCAGGCCGCCAAGAGGAATTTCCCCTCATCTCCATGCAGACAAGCGATTTAATTAAAATGGTAATCTTGATGGCTGACGAAACAATGCGAATGTACTCTAATATCCCGGGCGTATGCTTAAAAATAGTTAAAATGATAAATTTTGTTATGTATATTTTAATCATAGTAAACAATGTTAAATTCGGGAAAAAAAAAAAAACAATGGCCCTGCGCAGTGGCTCACACCTGTATCTCAGTCGCACTTTGGGAGGCCACAGGCAGCAGATCATGAGGCCAGGAGTTTGAGACCAGCTCGGCTAACATGGTGAAATCCCGTCTCTACTAAAAATACAAAAATTAGCTGGGCGTGGTGGCGGGTGCCTGTAAATCCCCAGCTACTTGGGAGGCTGGGCAGGAGACATATTGCAACCCGGGAGGCAGAGGTTGCAGTGAACCGAGACTGTGCGCACTGCACTCCAGCCTGGGCGACACAGGGAGACTCCATCTCAAAAAAAAAAAAAAAAAAAAAAATTAAAGGCAAAATATTGATAGTCACAGGGTCAGGGGGTGGACATTAGTAAAGGTGAAGAAGATTAGTTATTTGAGGAAGTTCCAAATGGCGAACAAGCAGTGTTTTCTACACTCTTCGAATGAAATGGTTCAAGTTAAGGCACCAAGAAGCTCTGGCCCTCTTATAAGGCCAAAAATCAACTTCATCATCAACATTTTCTCTTGAAGCCTGAAGTATTTGAGCATCGTCTCTCCTTTGATGCTAGAGTTTCAGCTAGACCACAATGCACCTTCACTACAATGGAAACTCTCAATAAAGCTGTCACAGAGTGACCAGAATTTCGGCACTGAAAGGGACCTTGGAAAGATGCACTACCCAGCGCTCTGAGCCGTTTCCTGCCACAGCAGGCATGATGGATGAGCGTAAAACGCATGATGGAGCAAGCAAGGAATCCACTCCATCGACCTGCTCCAATCCATCTTCCTTCTCTGTTGCTCAAGTGAAAAGTACTGCAGAAGGTGATGCAAGGCGTGGCATTATTAATAGGAATAACCTTCAGAGTCCAGCCTAGGTCGTATTGTGCAAGGCAGGCATCGAGCAAGCCTTTAGAGATCTGAATTTGTGCTTTGCAACATATACACACACAATATACAACACACTCGCATAATATCATCCAGCGTAGAACTTGCGATTTATAAATACGTCCCTACTCACGAATTTCTAAAAATGGCCATTTGATTGATCCTGTAGCATTCAGACTCCTGTGCTTTTAATTGATACCACACAGTAAATGAGGGGACCTTCAATACCGCCTCGTGGAGCGCTTGTCAGGCTCTTCCTCCACCAAAGGGAGTCAGGCAGGGTATAGGTGTGCCACAGAAGTACTCAGGGTTTTTTGTTGTTGTTGTTGTTTATTTTTTCTTTAAGATGCGAGTTTCTCTCTGCTCCCCACGGCTTGGAGTGCAGTGCAACGATCTCCATGCTCACTCCCAGCTCCGTCCCAGGTTCAAGTGATTCTCCTGCCCCGCAGCCTCGCTGAGTAGCTGGGACGACAGGGCCGACCCCACCACGCCCGGACTAAATTTAAAAGAATATTTTTAAGGAGTGGCGTTTCACCGCTGTTAGCCAGAAAGCATAAAAAGTCTCGATCCCCTGACCTTGTGATCCACCCCAAGCCTCTCAGCCTCCCATAAGTGCTGGGATTACACGGGCATGAGCACACCGCAACGCCTGGCCCAAAGTACTATAAACCTAAACAGGAGAAAAGCAAAATCAAACTATTAACCTCTTTGTGCATGTATTTAATTCAGGCGCTACCATCTAGACCCACTGTAGACCACCGAGGCTAACTTAGAAACAATTTAAGGAAACTGACTAACAAGGTGACACAATATACGTTAAAGAACTCTGAGATACTTGTTACTGACAAGAAGGCACTCTTTTTTCAGTGCCCAAATATGGCAATATGGCAATTCTATGCCCCGATCCTGTTCCATAATCTCTAATCCACCACAAAATCAGAGAATGGGAGCAATTCCATACATTCTTCGGGAGAACCAAGAACTAACCAGAGGCGATAACCACAATTCTCCCCCTTTTTGTTTGTTTGTTTATTTTGTCTTTTGAGACAGAGTCTTGCTCTATTTGCCGCAGGCTGGAGTACAGTGGTCACAATCTCAGCACACTGACCCTCTGCCTCCCCGGGTTCAAGTTGTATCTCCTGCATCAGGCTGTTGGTACATTAGCAGGCACCTGCCCCACCAACACCTGGCTAATCTTTGCTATTCTTTAGTAGGGACGGGTTTCACCATGTTAGCCATGCTGGCTCAAACTCCTGACCTTCAGTGATCCACACCACCCATCGACATCCCAAAAGTGCTGGGACTTACAGGCCATGAGCCACCAGCATCCGGCCTCTTCTTTCTTTTAAGACAGTTTAACCAGCCCAGTTATCCTCCCTAGAATAGCATTTCGAAAAAAGTGTACTCCAGAAGGTTAGTGGTAAATAAAAGAGTGCCGATCGCCAACTAACGTTGTGGCGAAACTGCAGCGCGCGGACGAGGATACATCTCTACCAAGTTACCTCAATTTCCTCTACTGTCGCGTGATTTATCCACAGTCTGTAAATCAGCGCTTGTATTCATTCACGCAGCCTCAGAAAGATATGGGGCCAGCAGCAGCCTTTCCCCCAGCCTTACAACCAAAACCAACAAGCACTCCTTTTTGGCAGCTATATCCTGCGATGGGAGCTAGCATATCCATGGAACCCCGCTTTGAGAAATGTCCACAGGCAAAAAATACGATTCCAAGGATGGGACTGCCCCGATTTCCCCAGTCATCTGGGAATTACTTTGGAAGCCCGAGACTCCTGTGCCTCTAGTCATACAACATTTTCCCTAGTTACCCTCAAATCAGGTATGGTCTAAACTAGTGAAGATGAGAACACAAGGAACTCACTTTGACCCCACCTAACAAATGCCAACTAGCTGATTAGCCATGTGGCACTCCAATTACAGAATGATTAATACAAATTAATGAAATAAAAATCAGCTTTCCTCAGTCAAGCCAATCACCATTTCCAGAGCACTCATACTCACGATGTGGCCACTGGCTACCATATAGGCACGAACATTCAACCTAAACCGTGGATCATTGCCATCACTGCTGAAGGTTCCATTGAACCAGCTTTACGACCAGACGCCATCCGAACTGGTTGTTTGAGGCGGGATGTGTCTAACTGTAAATTTTGTTTTGTTTTGTTTTTGAGTTTTTTCCCTTGAAAACACAAAGTCTCACTCTGTTTGCCCAAGGCCAAAGCTGCGGAGTGCAGATGGCCACATCAGAGCCTACACTGTAAACCCTCAAAACTCCCTGGCCTTCAAAAAGCACACGGATATTCAGGTGTGAAACCACTAGCGCCTGTTGTATTTTCATATTGTATCCTCCATCTGCAACCCAGTGCACTGCTTTTGAACACATTTTTTACTTTTAATAAATTAGCCATCTTTTTTGAAAAAAAAAAAAAATAAAAAATGGTAACAGGGAAAAAAAT